GGTACTTATCTTCTCCCTGTAATATATTGATGTCAGCTCTTCTGTCCATGAAGAAATATCACTGCTTTCTCCTGCTAGTATGTGTCTGCATTTTTGACAAAAACGAAATGAAACATAAAGTAGTTTCAGAGTTCTTCCCCTCTGCCCCCCCATCAAACATGTTAATCCAGTATTTCAACTGAATGTGGTAATCCTTTGCAGTTAGTATAAAACGTTGTCCTCCTCTGATAAAGCTGGAATCTGTCTCATACTGCAGCTGTGTGGTCTTAGTCCTAGGGTCCATATGATGTCTTCTCAGAATCGTAGAATAGTTGATGTTGGAAGGGACCTCTGGATGTCATCTGGTCCAACCCCCTTGCTCAAGCAGGGCCACCTAGAGCCAGTTGCCCAGGACCATGTCCAGATGGGTTTTGAGTATCTCCAAGCATGGAGACTTCACAGCCTCTCTGGGCAACCTGTGCCAGTTCTCAGTCACCCTCACAGGGAAAAGGTGTTTCTTGATGTTCAGAGGGAGCCTCTTGTGTTTCAGTCTGTGCCCATTACCTCTGGTCCTGTCAGTGGGCACCACTGGGAAGACTCTGGCTCTGTCATCTTTGCACCTTCCCTTCAGGTATTGATACTCATTAATAAGTTCCCCTGAGCATTCCCTTCTCTAGGCTGGACAGTCTCAGCTCTCTCAGCCTTTCATCATAGGAGAGATGCTCCAGTCCCTCGGTCATCTTAGTGGGACTTTGTTGGATTCTCTGCAGTATGTCCATGCCTCTCTTTGTACTGAGGAGCCCAGCACTGGACACAGCGCTCCAGGTGTGGCCTCACCAGTGCCGAGTAGAGGGGAAGGATGACCTCCCTCAGCCTGCTGGCAATGCTCTGCCTAATGCAGCCGAGGATGCCATTTGCCTTCTTTGCTGCAAAGGCCCATTGCTGGGTTATGTTCAACTTGGTGTCCACCAGGACCCCCAGGTCCTTTTCCGCCCAAAGTGGTTTCTTGCTGGGTGGCCCCCAGCATATACTGGTGCCTGGGGTTGTTGTTCCCCAGGTGCAGGACTTCGCACTTCTCATTGAACTTCATGAGGTTCCTTTCAGCCCATAGGTCCCTCTGGATGGCAGCACAACCCCCTCATGTATCAGCCACTACTCCCAGTTTGGTGTCATCAGCAAACGTGCTGAGGGTACACTCTGCCCCCTCATCCAGGTCATTAATGAAGATGTTAAACAGGACTGGACACACTATTGACCCCTGGAGTACACTGCTAGCCACTGACCTCCAATTAGACTTTGTGGCACTGATCACCTCCCTCTGGGTCCAGCCATTCAACCAGTTTTTAATCCACCTCACTGTCTGGTCATCCAGCCCATACATCAACAGCTTCTCTGTGAGGATCTTATGGGAGACAGTGTCAAAGGCCTTTCTGAAGTCCAGGTAGATGATGTACGCTGCTCTGCCCTCATCTACCAGGCCAGTTGTTTCATCATAGAAGGTTATCAAGTTGGTTAAGCATGACTTGCCATTGGTGAGTCCATGCTGACTATTCCTGATCATTTTTTTGTTGTTCATGAACCTGGAAATGGTTTCCAGGATTAGCTGGTCCACCAGAAAAAAAATTCTGCTCTTCAGAAAATTTTTAGCAGTCTGGTCTCTCTTGATACCATGCTTTTGATTTTTCTTGTTTCCTGTGTAAATGTGGCTTAATTTCATGAAGCGTTTTCAAGATTGCTGTTCTTGATTTTCTTACCGTTTTCATATTCTCTTTTCCTCCAGCTGAACTCACTGGTAGGAATTACATGTTTTAATTTTCTGCAACTGTGAAAATCTGATGGGCTGCTATAACTGTGAGCTGTTGGTGGAGTTAAATTTTGATTTACTGAACTGTGTGTTTGTAGTATTGTATCATATGGGTTCTTTCTCAAAATATCTCATACATTCAGCTCTCTTCTCCCAGTTGACAGGAAGGAAATAGCAGGGAAACCCTGGATGGTATTGGATGTCTGGGGGGAGGAGGATATGAAGGTACTAGATGGGCTTTCCACATGGTCAGCATAGCTTTGGCAGGGCTGTTTGAAATGAGGTCTGCAAAAAGCCTTGCAAAGATCCCTTATGCAACCTCCATATGGAACCACTTGAGCATGTCTGTATTACTCCCCTGGTTCTGAGATGGTGTTGTAGGTGGGCTTTGTGCTGCACCTGGATTAATAAACCTTTCTGGAACCTAAACCAAGGTACAGTAAATTTGAGTGGCTCTGCAGAAACCAGTGTGGGACAAGCAGGATTGGGGCAGAGCCAGAACTAATAAATGCTGCTCATCTGAATTGGCTCTGAGGAGATCTAGCTCTGGGTTACTACTCAACTCAAGGCTCAGTTAGGACTAAAAGTGATGCATAACTCTGTCTTTTTTTTCATGTAATTTTTTAGCTATACAAAAACAGTATCATTACCTACTATTTCATCCTTGATTTACTTTGAAATAAATGTTGTAATTTTAAAAATAAGGATAATCATGTTTCCCAGCTTGGAGGGGTGTATGTGGAGAAATCCTGCTTCGCATTATAGTAAACTTCTATTGAGACAGTACTTCTATAGTGAACTTTTCATTTATGGTCAGTCATTGGTTAAAAAAGCAATTGTTTGAATTACAAATGGGAAACTCAGCTTAGTATTCATAGTAGTATGTAGGATGTTGTAAGATTTTAAAGTGATGTGGCAAAAACCAGTCCTAAATTATTACAGAGGTTCTTATGACTTGCTGCTAAAAGGTGTTATTTTTCCTTTTAATAAAAGGATCATTTTAACAGGTCTTGCAGTCTGTATGCAGGGAAAGCTTCAGAGCAGAATCAGGAGAAGAGGACTGAAGAACTTAGTGGTGGATTTAAGTTTTCATGGTAACAATCTGAGCAGAAGGTGATCACAGGGTGATACCTGGTAACCTGGAGTCTGGAGAGAAAGTCTGGACACATCTGAGATTTACTTACTACAGCTTTGCAAAAAGTGCCAGTGTTGAAGGAGCTGCAGTTCTTAGGAATTACTGACTTAAAAATCTCAGGATATTCAACACATATACTGTAATTCTGTACTTCTGGGGGCTCCGGGTATAAAGCAGTATCCTTTGTACTCCAAATTTCTGTGGCTTATTACATGGAAATTAACTCATCTCTTCTGCTTTCTTTTAGAGACTTGATTCCAGTGTTTTTATCTAACTTGATCTAAAGTATTTATATCATGCTTATTTTTGTTCTTTTGGTGTAAAGACTCTTTTTGAGTAAAAAGAAAAATGTGTGTATTGCAGCATGCAGAGTGTGCATTTAAGTGTTGTTATGCAGCTTGAAGAAGTTGTGTCAGTATGGTAGAGGCAAAATCTGCTTTATTTTCTATGTTCTAGTTTAATTAAAAATAGAATGGAATACATCAGCTTTAGCTTCTTGCATTTGTAGTGTGAAAATAGGCAAAATCCCATAACAGCGTACCTGTATTTTTGACAGATGTTGCTATGGTAGTTGCAAAATGCTGCTACAGTATGTGATAAAGGTAATTTAAAGGATACTAGGCAAATAAAAAAAAAATACAGTGACATGTTCAAGAACGAGTGCCATGGCTTAGAGAAGTAACTCCACCCTGCTGTGCATCACAGCGCAGTGAAGCTGGGTGGTGAATTGTAGCTGCAGTTGTAAGCAGCATATTTGCAAATGCAGTATCCCCAGTGGGATCCCTAGTTTTTAGGTCTTTTTTTGAGTGTGTGTGGGAGTGGGAAAGAAGAAGGGATAGGTAAGTGGATAGGGACTAGCTGACTCTTTCACAGCTGGTCCCTAACTAAGCCTTTTGATCATAGGCCTTAAAATAGCATGGTTCTCATCTCTGGTGTTCAGCTATTGTAGTCTAGCTGATGCATGTTTAATGAGAAAAGAAGATAGAAGGGAGGGACTGTGATTCTCTAGAGTGAAACAGTCTTTGAGATCCCAGAAGATGGTATAAATAACTTAACACTTGGACTTTGTACGAGAAACAAGGGAGCAAGAACATTTTTGCCATTTGGGGTGCATGCACAACTACAAGCAGATTCCAGTTCTGATTTTGCTGTTGTCTCCAAAGAGTTGTGTGGCCTTGAGCAGCTTGTGGAAGGTGTAAGTTTGCAGAGCATTTCTTTGCTTGATACACTTGTAGCGTGTTTACTTTTTAGGGTCAGAGTCTCAGGAAGTTTGAGCCCAAGTACAGGCTGCATACATCTCTGAACTACTTCTATAATTGCTTCTTGTTCATTCTTAGTTTATCTGTGTGCATGCAGATGCATGGTATCTTCCTCCCCACATATGTCTTCTGTGCTACAGTGTCTTGAACATACTTAGTTGTTTGATGTTAGGCTCAGGAAGCTTGGCCATGTTTGAACTCCATGTCACATATTAAAATCTTTGTGTGGCTCAAAGCTGTAGGATACTTTCTACATGGTTCAGAGAGTTCCCAGAGCTTGAGGTGTGATTCATGCGTGGGAGGTGACTGTGTCTCCTTGGTGTTTCTATTGCTCTGGTGAAAGACAAGACTGCAGAGTCAGCAGTGCTTACTGGTTGGTTTCCTGCCCTAGCTGAGGATTTGGCTTAACACCACAGCCAAAGCCAGCTCCATTTTCTGATCAGTTACACAGCGCAGCCTTGGCATGGGAATGGTACTTGAGTGCCAGTGGCCTCCTGTGGATCAAAAGCCACAACCTGGCCACCCATGGTGTTGCCATGGTCTGTTTGAGCTATGTGTTTGCCTCATCTCTGAAAATCATAGTCAACATCTGCTGAATTTGGTATCCAAATTTGAATATAAGAGAAACTGAGTTACTGTGAAGCACTGTGCCATAACTAGTCTGTGACTTAGTTTCACTATTTGAAAAATAAAGCCAAACATGCTCAATAAGGGCTTTGAGGTTTACCTGGTGTATTTTGTCACATCCTATGATTTGGAGGTGAAGACTGTAGTTTATGTAGCTCAACTAACTGACTGGTTTGGGATTCTTCTATTTCCTTAGGTATAACATTGATCCTGGCTTGTACTGTCCATTTTTCTCTCTTGGGGCGTGCATGGAAGGTTTGAACTCTTTGTTCAGTCAGCTCCTAGGAATCTCCCTTTATGCTGAGCAGACACAGAGAGGAGAGGTTTGGTCTGAAGATGTTCGAAAGTTGGTAAGTATTCTTCTTCCCAGCATCTGAAATGACAAAGGGAAGATAGACAAGATGGTGTGTTCCTCGGAGCCATGAATCAGATTTGTTTTTAAATTACTTGGGTACCTATCAAAAGCACACACTAGCTGTCTAATTTTAGTTGAAGTTAGACCTCAAGGGCTTTATACTCTAAGTGCCTTTTATATGCTTGGTATTTTATGGCCTTTATGTCTCTGTGTGAAGGGTGCCTGAATCAGAAGCAGTTTCTCTGTTCAGAGATTATTGTTGTACCTTTCAAGCTGTCCTTCTGAATGAGCCCTGCTGTTTTTTTCAGTTTCAATTGACTGTAGATGACTAGAACGCTCTAGGTGCATATTCTAGCAGTCATGTGTCTTTGCTTCATTTTTTATTCTGTATGTCATCTTTAGTTTCAGATTGGTTTTTATGTCTCTATTTTTCTGTGCGTTTTTTAGGGGAGCGTGGAAATAAAAACTTGGGCAATAATTTACTCATCAGGCTCCTAGGTTCCTCTGTTGTCTTCCCTCCATGTATTCACTGCCAGATCTTCTTCACTGCTGTTCTACCTCCAGCAAGAGCTGCTGTTCTTTATATCCTATGGGTCAATTTAGAATTATTCCTTACTCTTTCTACTTTTATTTCCACAGTAAATTAGCTTCTGTTACTGTTGACTTTTCAGAAGTCATTTAGGAGCTACAGACAGAGTTACTTTTAATACTAACCTGTGACTAATTAGTTTAGAGTGAAATGCAGAAATGGCTGTAGTTTGAGACAAGTTGTGAATCTTGTATATATTTTTTTCCCAACTAAAATTGCCAACAGATTTTACATTAATTATTCCCAGTTTATTTGTCACTTATTCATTATAAATCTTTGGATTAGAATACTGTGTCTTTGATTTACACATCTTATTGGTGCTTTCACTGTGGAAATGATACTATTTTTTCTTCAGGCTGTCGTTCACGAAACTGAAGGTTTGCTAGGATACATCTATTGTGACTTCTTTCAGCGACCTGATAAACCACATCAGGTAACATTTATGACCTGATTCCAGCATGGCTTTTATTTGAGTAATGACTGTAGTGTTAGGGCCATTTGCGTTCAATGTAAGTTTAGTAAAAGTTATCTCAATTTAGCATAAATTAAATTTAAACAGGGAAAGCCTGTAACTTCAAATGTGGTTTTAGGTAAAATATTTTTGTGAGTAACCTTTCATTTAAAAAATGTCACCTGATAGGCAGAACTCAGACTCTTTGTTCTACAGAATGACAGGCACTATGAAATGTCGTAGAACTCTGGAGAAATGGTAGATTTTTAAACACCTATTTTCTGGCCTACTATTTACAGGTAAAAACAATCTGAAATTTTAATACTCTCTAAAGGTGCAAGCTCATAATGACAACTAATTTTTATTCAAAATACTACTTAAAACTGTAGATGGTTCCAACTGTTGTGGCTCACTCATACTGCCTAGTGCCAGTATATTAACTATATGATGCAGTGCAACAGACACTTCACTCTGTAGAAGCATCTGCAAATTACCACCTTTAGTGAGGTGGTAAGTGGACAAACTTTAAATCTACATTAGTTTAATATATTACTGTTTTGCTAATATTTCACAATATACTAGGAGTGCTATGCAGTATATTTTGTAAAGAAGCTCCTGCTGAGGAATGAGGAGAACTTAATGTATGAATTATGGATTTGGCACATCAGTAAATTTCTTCGAGCTAGTGATATTTTTTAGAAAAATTGAGAGGTTTTGATAATTCTAAACCAAAAAACCCTAAATTTTATTTCCTAAAAGCAACACAGGCTTTTCTTTATGGAATGAGGTAGTTTCCTTAGGAACATGAAGCAAATAATAAAGATGGAGAAACAGCATGCTGCTATTGAAAATGCTATTAATGATCATTGAATTCAACTTGTGTAATTGAGTATATATTTAGGTTTGATTTAATAGTTTAAGTTTAATAATTTCATCATTGTTTTAATATCATTGATTTAATGACATTGGCTGTCCATATGTTTGCTTTTATCTTGAAAAGGATTGTCACTTTACAGTTCGTGGAGGCAGGCTAAGGGAAAATGGAGAGTACCAGCTGCCTGTAGTTGTTCTTATGCTTAGCCTGCCCCATTCAACAAGGGGTGCACCAACGCTACTAAGTCCTGGCATGATGGAAAATCTCTTCCATGAAATGGGACATGCTATGCATTCTATGCTGGGAAGAACTCGGTACCAACATGTCACTGGTAAGAAAGTTAGAATAGTGATTTTTTTGTTTTAGTTAAATGTTTAATTTCTAGGAGGGAGTAGATTAAAACAAAAAAGAAAGAAAAAAAAATTCCCAAGGAAAAAAAGAGGATGAACCAGAAATGCTTGAGTCATGTTGATACTTCTACATCTTTGATGACTTGAAAATACAGTATCAGATCCCCAGATACTATCTAAAACCCAACCAAACAACCCTTGAATGTTGTTCTTCTCCTAAGAAGAATTAGGCATTTATCTCTCTTCTTTCTGTACTGCTAATCTTTGTTCTAGTGGTGGTATCCACTCTTGCAACTTTGCCTTATGTGGGGTTTATAATAATGGAACAGTTGGAGGATTGAAAATAAATTGAGCTAAACTTGTACCTAGTGTAAAAGCACAATGAATCCTAGGTTGGAAATGATACAGGAAATTGAATTAAGGAAAATTAGTAAATTAGTTCTTGCAAAGAGCATGTACTAGCAATATGGAAAATCTGTAAAGCCAGGCATTTTCTAGTTGATTCTGATCAAAGCAAGGTTGATAAATTAAAAATGTATTATATTTGCAAGCATGATTAATTGGTAGGCCTTTTTATCATATGTAAATGAACATGAATGAATATGCAGCCACAGCTTAGTGGATGCACAGAAAAGGAATACTGCCTTATTTCATTTAGTCCCTCTTCTCAGGCAGTGGCAATGAGTGTATTGGCTGACAGCTCACAGTAGAGCAAAGACATGTTCTGGCTAAAGCTGCTTGACATGCTACTTTTCTGATCTGCGGACAGCTTGGTATATCCTCTTCTATAACAGTGTGTGGGAAATACAATTTGCAGTAGACTTCTACTTATTAAAAAAACCCCACATCCTAACAGATGAAATTGTAGCTCCTGTGTCTAAAGGATTTTTTTTTTTATGTTTCACCATTTTTGTATTATGCTAATGATACAAAGGGGAGTCCATGGTAGAGTTACGTGTTATCAACAGATACTTTGCACCCAGTGAAAAAATATTATTTCTTAAGTCTTCTACTTAAAATTGACTGAGCTGTTTGTAAGTATGTCACTACTGGACATTGATAAAACAAATGAAGACTGTATATGCTCTTTCAGTGTAAGCTCTGTATACTCCTTGGGATGGTTAACTGCTCTCCATCATCCCTTCCACTCATATGGCCTCTCTCTTCTTGATGTCGAGGGGTACTTATATGGCCAAAGTAACTGCTTTAGTGGGCTTCTCCTGTTGTGGTGGTGAATCATACTTGTCTACGTGTCAGAAAGTCTTTGAAGGGGCAGGAAATAGCTAATTTTGAGGCTCAAACTTTCCATGAGCCCCTGTGTATCGTTTCAGTGTTGCCTTAGCTCCAGGCAGTCCTGCGTCGCAGGGGATTTCACTCCAGATCTAGCATTGCAAAAGCAGAGTCGGAGGTCAGTCATGTTGTTTCTGCAGAGAACTTTTTTTTTTTTTTTTTTTTTTTAGGGTTTGGAATGTGGGACAATCAAATGGCTCGTCCTAGGGATGTCTGTTAGGGGCCATCTGCTCTCATGAGACACTAGGGTGGCAAAGTGCGGGAACAGGATGACTACAGGCTATTGTGAGAACAAAAAATTGGACATTCTAGTTGAGATCACTGAGTATTTGACATCTTTCCTACTCTTCCCCACCCCCCTTTTCTGATTAACATTCCCAGATATTCAGGAACCCATTCTGCTGCTAATGGGCCCAAAACTTGGATCATACTGTATGTTTTTGACTTAAGATGTTGTTTCTTTTTAAATTAGTCTGTCATTTTACTATATGCATTTATTTGTTGTTTAATGCATATGTGTGTGTATAAGATTTGTTTAAAACCTAGCTTCTATTCCTTTTAGTTTATCATGCAGTAGAGAATACCTACATTTGTTTTACAGGACTAACTTATCCCAGATAACTGCCCAACCTTTTACCTTTCTGACTGTCAGATACTGTAATTTTTCAGGAGTCTTTTTAATGGTTATTAAAAGAATTCTGTCACTTTATTAAGGAGCACTGAGAGAGCATAAGTGGCTAGGGGAACATCAGTGTAGTTCTGCAGGCATTTGTCTTGGGACCTGCCTTGTTTTAGGCTTTTTAAAAATTATTTCCAAAAAACAAAAAAAAAAAGACTCTACTAATGAAATGTGATGGCACAGGAGAGGGATTTGGGGCATTGTATAAGAACTGAATGACTGGATACTGCAGTGTTAGAACTAAAATGCAATTCAGAACTACACCATGCAGATTGCGCATTTAAAGAGTACAAAGAGAATTTATGCTATCAAATGGATATTTCAACAGTGCTAGAGGAACAGAAGAACAGTTTTATGTGTTAATGCAGAACTACAAATAGCTAATGTGTTTGTGAAAGGGGCGAATGTGATTTGAAATTACATCAGAGGTGTACCTAACAGCAGTAAGTATTAGAATGATTAAGAAATACTCATGCAATGAAACCTCATACAATGCTTGGGCATGGTTTTGTGTCTCTGAAGGAGAATTCAAACTGAAACAGGTGCAGAGAAGAGAAATGGATAGTCTTTTAGACTTTATCTTGCCTTTGGATAATGATCACTGAGAGAGAATATAGTTTCTCTCAATTTAGGAGGTAAAAAACTGTGGGAAATGCTGTTTATACTAAAGAGCAGTATTGGTCTGAAAACAATGAGTATAAACAGATTATAAATTCAGATTAGAAATTAGAGAAAGATTTGTAAAGATCAAAGGAGTGATTTTAAAAAATAGCGTTCAAGAAGAATAGTAGAAGCAAAAACTAGTTTTGAAAGTTGACATTGTCTCTAGCAGACAGGGATAGAGGTGATGACCCAGGGGGTCCGCTGTTAAAGCAACAACTTTGTACACCTCTAACTTCAATACGGAAATTAGAAATGCAGCTTTGATTTGGTCATGTGTTATACCGCTTAATAACTTCCATTGTGTAAGGTGCTGATAAAGAATAGAGTAAATAAGACTTTTGGGAAAGTGCTTTTTGAAAATAAAGACTGCTAAGATATTACCTCATTGCACTTACTGAGAACATGCTTTCAATCTGCAAGAGTGTTCCTTGGATGAATGACTTGGTATTGTAAGGCAAGGTTACTATAAAGCACAAGTAAGCTCAGCAAACAGATGGAAGCTAAAAATTGTAACTGTGAATGGGATTAAGGCAGAGTTTTATTTACATTGTAGTTTGATTTAGGTTTAGGACGTTTAAATAGATTTGGTGTTTCATGTAGGGCCAGTTTGGCTGCAGTCTGGTTTGGTTTAAAAAGGGTGTGATGCAGGGCTTTATAAGGTGCCTCACCCAGCTGTTCAAATATTTTGTTTTACTTTGTGATTTATAGTAAAATGTGTAGGATTATAATGAAGCTTTTCTGGCAATATGTACAATCATGCAATGGAAATAAAATATTGACTTAATAAACAAAAGAACATTGAAGTTCACCAAAAGTCCAAACTGAAAGTTGCAAAACGTTTTGGGAAGAGTTAACTATTTGTGTTAATGAAGGTAGCAAATGCTAACGTGTACAATTATTCTACCTCTAGGAACCAGATGTCCTACTGATTTCGCTGAAGTTCCCTCAATTCTGATGGAGTACTTTGCAAATGACTACCGAGTGGTTAACCAGTTTGCAAGGCATTATAAAACAGGACAGGTAGGGCAAATTAATATGTAAAATATTGAAAATAGGGATAAATGTATTCAGGAAAAGAATCACATTTTCACATGTTATTTGTTAATAATGTTTAAAGTAGAAGTAAACAATGGATAGAAATTACTTTAATAATTTTAATTATTCAGAAAAAATGTTAATATTATCATTGCAGAAAAGATAAATGTAATCTATAAAAGAGTAACAGATCCTTATATCCAAGGTTCCGGTTACATATTTAAAACTTTCAACATTTTTGTCCTACAAAAATTGTGTAGTTTCTACAGTACGCAAACTAGTAGGTGTAGTAGGTGAACACCTTCTGTGTGAATCAAGTTATGTGGAATGTTTTAATTCAATTACAGATAAGTTTTGACAAAAACAGTCATTCATCATCATACTGTCTAAAGTCTATCTTAAAATAAAGCTCAGGTACCAAGTCATGGAAATAAATGAAAATGATCTGCAGTGTTTAAAAACTCCAATTTTAGCACAGTGTCGGGTAGTGATTAAAATATTTTGTGATGAAAAGAATACTGCTTTATTTGGAATTAGATTAAGATTAGGATTGGTTAGATCCTGGCAGTCACGAATCTCTGCATTAAAACTCTGATCTTTTTTTACATAAAGCTGTTCTATACCAGTCTAGTGCAAGGCTTTGCTTTCTGTGGGAATCTTAGAAAACTGCTCTTTGGAACAAGGTCACTTTCAGTGGTTGCTGTAGTGCATGGCAGCATAACATGGTTTATATGTGTACAGCCATTTCAAAAATACAAATCAGTAAACAATAACCAAAGATCTTTTTCCATTGCTTTTGACTGAGGCAGGTTTCAGTGTACGCAAGTGTAGTGGTTGAAGAATAGACTACCCATCAATGCAAAACCAAGAAAGCCTCTTAAATGTGTAGTGGTACACTTTATTGAAGCTTTTTATCCAATACTAAGCATTCAGTATATTTCAGTATGACAGTGGAATTATGTCTGCCTCCACTGTAACAGTTAGAAAAATAGGTTGCATAACTTCTATTTTAATAGATACTGTCTGAGAAGTTTGCTCTGTAAATCTGTTTGTTGGTTTTTTGGTTTGGGGTTGGTTTTTTTTTTTTTTTTTTTTTTTTTCAAAGGAAATTTTTTTTTTTTTTTTTTTTTTTACAGAGCAGTCAGTTCTGCAGAGCACTAGAAAAGTCCCCTTGAAACCTGGGAGTTAAAAGTACTCAGTTCACAAGTGTTCATCATTTGTATGTTTGAATCCACATACTGAAATACTGCTTTCTAGTGTTCCCTATAAAGTTTGTGTAGTGTTTAAACATTTTGGAGTTAATCTGATTGCATATGAGTTCAGACAATAAGCTTGACTAAAACATCTGAAAGAGATTTGTGGAACGTTATTTATGGCTTTGTATTTTCAAAATGGCTTAACAAATCTAAACCATGTTTAGTTGCAGTGCAAAAGCTAGGAACCAGGCACTGTGTCCCATTTGGCATTTCCAAAAACTACTTCTGTTTATTGGTGGTGAAATCTTGCCCTTTCAGAGAGCAATTGAGAGAGGTTTAATGTAGAAATTCAGTTTTGAAGGGGGCAAGAGCTGATTATGCTGGAAGATGAGAGAAAGAGCCTGAAACTGCTGTGTGGCTCTTGAGGGTTTTAGACTGCTTCCTTTTAATTGCTCATTTGAAAATTTAGAATGTATTTTTAAGCCATTATCCAACTTACAGAAATCTGCTTTTGCTTATGTTGGTTCATCTAAGCTAATTTTAAGAATCTGATATCAGATTTCTGTATCTGCCATTTAAATACCAATAGATTAAAGTCATCTTTGCTGTTCTTGAAATTCAGTGACTGTTACAGGAATTACTTCTATCTGTTGTGTATATGTTACAAAGTACTTTGAATAGAAAATCCCAGCTCTCTTACGTTTACAACTTCACAAAAATCCTTTTGGGGCTTACATTTTCTGTCTTTGTTCTCTGACTAATTTTTTGCTATGCAAATGGAAATCTGAGTCAACATTTTCGTATCCAGTTTTTTAGTTATTTGAAAGAAAAATGAATCCACTTTACCCCCTTTTCAAGGGGAAGTAAAGAAGGTAGATGAAACAGCTAAAATGTGAAATTTGTAAAACTATTTCATCCAAATGTTGTTCCATATGAGAACTTCCATTAACATTATTTTTATGAATAAAGAGACTGAGCTTTTCTGTGCAAGAAGGATCTTTCCTGCAAAAACTACACCAACATAGCTCTGCTAGATGTTGACAGGAGGGTTTTTTACTGAGCTAGCTTCTTGAGGACGCAGTGCAGATAAAAAGCATTCTTGCATCGCTGCATCTATGCTATAGCTTTTGCATATAAGTATTAGGTGGTGTGTCTTTTTTAACACTCTTCCTGAACATAATTATGTCAGAAAAACTTGGTAGTCTCAGCTTCTGATTGCCTTTGCCATAAAAGCCAATTGTAGAAGGATTGGTCCTGAGCTGTGGTCCTCGCTGAGGACCAGTGCTTATGCTTATGGGAAGAGGAGGGGAAAGAGGTGTTGTTTTGATTATTAAAACATACGAACTGTTGAAAACTGGTTTTTAGCAGCATTGCAGAAAAAATAATTGGTGGGCAGGCTTTCAAAGATGAGAATGCATTATGCTTGGATGGGCATAGTCTTCGCTGGGTAAAAAACTGGTTG